GATGATGCCGGCATTCGTTGGTCAGGCGCGCTTGTTATACCCAGTCGCATCACGCAGGACGCTCTCGACGGCTTCGCGCACGCGCGCTTGCGACTGCACGGGCCGATGAAGAGGTTAACTAGTGACAAGGAGGGCGCCTTGGACAGTGAGGTCGCATCGGCTTGGGCAGATCAGTGGAGTATTGAGCCAAATCTACACTCTCGTGGTACACGCGCCAGGCCCGCGGACAAAAAAAGCAAAACGCGCTATTGAGGGATGCGGTGCGCAGGATACAGTCGCAGAATGAACGCGACGGCATCGCGGTACCTCCGCAGGCGATCATAGACGATGTGAGTTTGGCGAATACTAGCATGATCACTATGCATGGTTCTTCGCCGTACAAGGCCCTCTACAGTCAATCACAGGCGCTTCTGCGAGATTTCGAACCTGGATCGGAGACGCCGTTATCAGTCGGACAGATGGTATTGATTGCGAATTGCGGCACATTCACGTATTGCGCGAGATGGCGATGGCGCCAATTTGTCAGGGCACGGTTGCCGACCGTCTATCAAGGCCAGCGGGCGAATCACTGGAGCTGAAGATCGACGACGAGGTGGACATATACAGAGACTCCCCAACAAGGATCTCAGTGGATGGAGAAGCCCGGCAAACGTCACGGATGTCGCTTGTATGCGCGATGGAAGTGTCGGAGTGCGCTTGCATGGCCGCAGCGCGCAGACACGACGTCCCGCAGCGCGGCGCACAGTAAGTAGTTACTTGGACATTCGTGACAGAGACCCATGCGCAATAATTATTGAGTCCACCGATGAAGTGCATCATGAACTTCGTGGAGGACATCGAGCGAGGATCATTCTATATAGGCATGATTTCTCAAGCAAGCATGGATGGATGAAAAGCAAGGCTGGGCAGCGTTTTCAAGAAGCGATGAGAACCGCATGCGTCGCGGCGGCTTGCCATGTGCGCTTTGCTGGATGCACTGGAGTTCGCGTTGGTCATGATATCAAGCGCGCAGATGCGATTCCAGGTGCCGAGGGCGCTGTGATCATGCGGCGGCAAGCTGGGCGGCGAGAAGACTGGTCATGGATTCAGATACCAGGCAGCCAATGGATATCAACGCAATTGTTTTGTTTGGATTTATTGCCGAACGCGCCGTTCCTGCAGTTCGCCTTTGTGCTGGGGGATGAAGCGCGACGAGCGCGACGACAGACGCCGGGAGTAGCGCGCGTCAGAGGACTGGATGGTACTTTGGATCACAATGATGGCTGCGCCATGCCAAGGTCGAGCGGGGTCCAGGGGGCCAGATCGGTGGACTCTCTGGACAGCGGCAACTCCTCACCATTCCTGTCTAGTCGACAGAAAGATATAGGCCCTTCTTTGAATCGGTTTCGCGCCCAGATCAGATGGCAGCGGCCGTCCCGGACTTCGTTTATCACGGCGGCTGGGTGACGAGTCACCAGCAGAGCATCAATGCTATCATGACAGCGTATATGATTTCTGGTGGGGGCTCAGCGAGCTATCGCATTGGCCTGGCGTTCCCGCGGCTGGTGTTGTTTACTCAATGTCACAGTCGAGAAGGAGACGGGGCATGACGGAAAGTTGGGACTTGCCGTGAGTGCAGACGCGGCGTTGTGAGGTTGTGGCGATGAGGTGTTCCAGGGGTTCGTGGTTTGGGCGTAGATGTGATCTCATGGGGCGCCATGTCGACGCGGTGATCAAGAGAGAGAGAGAGAGAGAGAGAGAGACGAATCGTCTTACCAAGGACGAGCTTAAGAAGTACGAGCGTGACGTAGCAGCAGCGGCGTGTCTCTTTGAACTACGGCGGCGGTATCGCATGGGCATATTCGCGCGATTACCACGACGCAAAGCGATGAATCTGGTGGTTCTGAAGTGGAAGCTGATTGGTCGTGTCAGGAAAACCAAGGCGAGACCGACAGCACCACGCGGATTCAAAGGTCGCCAAGCTGATTATCTTGCGACATTTGTTGGGGCAGTGTCTAGATGGGGACGGAGCTGCGTTTTACAAGGCGACGTTGCACGGGCGGAAGTCATGGTCGACGGATATGCCCATGTTCTTCTTGCGTGGGAAGACGTTCGAACAAATCGCGGACGATGCCAGCGCCGCGCTGCGATCTATCCCGTGCGATCTACCGGCAGGGGCCACTGTGATACTACGCATAATCGAATGCTTCATCGACTTCAGCGAGATCATGGGGGCACTCGATATGAACGTGCCCTGCTTCGGGGCGAAGGATGCGCCCTGGTCGTGGAGCGCGGAACTGACTGTGACGGTGATAGAGTCAAAGTCGTCACCATCGAGATCGGACAACAAGTTTTACGTCGAGCATGAGAACGCGCAGGAAAAGGCCGGCGAGTCTCCGATCACTGGCGAGATGTGCGCCGAAAAGGGCGAGGTGCCCCCGGGCATCTTGGCGATGCGCGTTGACGACATCGAACGAGCTTGCGAAGCTGATGCGCGAGTGGAGTTATTTCAACGCTTGGAGGCCAAATGCGGCAAGCGCGAGCTGATCGAGGCAACCTTCGAGCGCGCGGGCATCGAGCGCGCCCAGGACACCGACGCGTTTGAATGCACGATGGGCTAGAGTCATTACGTGGGGCAGTTGAAAGCGGTTCAAAGATCTGAAGAACGATGTGAAGGCGGATGATGAGTTGGTGAGTTTGTACATGTCATTGCTTGGCGGCGTGGCCTGGATGATGTCGACGCGAGCAGACGTAGTTGTTTCCGCCGACAGGCTACAACGAAGCACGAAGCATTTGAAGGTGGCGAGTTAGAGACTTGAACAAGCTGCTTAAGTGGATCAAGCGAATCTCTTCTACGATATACTTTGGAAAGGTGCAGGCGCCATTGTGTCAGGCGGTGTTTGCAGATAGTGCGTGCAGGGCTGATGATTTGAATTGTTGGTTGTCGCGGGCAGCAATCGTTGGACTTTGTGAACAGCGGCGCGGGAGGCCCCCCGGTGAATTCCATGTATGGGAGTTTCTCTTACAAGAGCACGTGAAGGTCAATCGTGGTACGTTCAGCGCCTCAACTTCGCAATCGAGTCTACAGAATATGGCATGTCGCTTAATGGTTGTCTGGTGAAGTGGAAGCGCGGTACTTGTGCGGCGGTGGGGTTGCATTCAAGAACTTCTGGGGTCTGGAGACGTGGAAGCGCATCTGTCTGGTTCTTGACGCACATTCGGTAGCTGTTGCAGTGACAGCGCAAGAGATATCGACACCTACAGAGCGGGAGTGGTTGCACGGTGCACAGGCACTTCGTGAGCATATGGAAGGCCAAGAGATTGAGTGTGCTTCATCGTTCGGACACTCGTGACATGCTGTGCGGCGCGTTGACTAAAGGAGGCGTTCGCCAGTCAACGCTTCTAGAGGCCTTTAGTGCAGGGCGGTGGCATATCACTGTGAAGGAGCAGCTGTGTACATGGATATTTCAAGGAGCGGGCAAGTGGTGAGATCAAGGACGCTTCCATTAAGCATCTGGTATGATTCACGACCAGACGCACGTCTCACCAAGAATGTGGGCTACCGTAACATAGCGCGTGTTGCCATAAGCTTCGTTGCAGGTGTGGACACGACTGCCTACTGTTCGCACGGCAGTCAGGAGATGTGAGCAGAGTCGGCAAGCAGAGGATCTTTTAGTTTTGACACACATATGATGTCTTCCCATTTTTGGGCCGAGATGATGCGGCACGAACTGGTTCCATAATGTTCCGGGAAGCGTCTTCCGGAATATCATGAACGCATTTTCTGGTGTTGCGTTTCCGTTGCCGTTTCACTTCAACAAGACGCGTTTTGGCATTGTATTTCCCCGCAGGTGCAGGACATAAATCATTGCTCTTTCTTCCCCTGCTCGTCGGACAAAGATTCTCGCCGCAACCCGCCAAGATCAGTCGACCCGTCCCTCCTATTTCGTCTCTCTTACCTCCTTTCTCCCCTCTCCTCCCTCCCTCATCCTGCCTCTGTCCTTCTCTTCGGTTTCTTCCTCGCGAGCCATGGGTGTTCCTCCACGCCAGGCAGCTTCAGTGAAGGCGATTCCTGCGCTTCCACGCGGTTCGGCCTCCTGGCTTTGCCTTGGCTCGGCTTCGGCTGTCCCGCAGTTGTCTCGCGGCCGTCTGCGGCTGTCCCGTGTTCCCGCGACGCAGTCCTGGCGCTTTCTCGGGCTTCTTGATAACGTCGTTTGGGTTTTCATTCGCAGCAGCACGCCGCAGCTCGTGACGCTTCATACCGTCGGCATCACCAGTGCAGCTGCAGTGGCAACGGCGGACATTTTTCGCGTCGTCGCACGGCGACGGCGATGGCGACAGCTGTCAACCATCTTCAGTGTTTGCATATTTTCCGCTCAGAGAGTGTCTTGAAGGCCTCTTGGGGCCATCGCGGGGCCGTCGTGGCGCCAGTTTGGAGGCCTTGGGCTCTGTCAGCCGGTTTTCTTGCAGCCCTCAAGGTGTCTCTTGGGGTTTTTGGGTCCCTCTTGGAGGCCCCGGGGGCCTTGTTGGGTCTTGGGCGATCTTGGAGGCCGTCGATCCAAAAAGAGGGGGTCTTAATTTGTCTCCCCCCCGTCGGGACCTTACAATCGTTTTCGGGGGCCCTGCTGGGGCGCCCCTGGGGCGCGACGGGGCACTCGTAGGGTCGTTCTGGGGTCATCTTGGGCCCCGCGTGCGGAACGTTTGGGCCATTTGGGAGTTTTCAAGCGCGCTCTCTGTGGGATTTTGGATTCTTGGGGCCCCCTTTGGGAGGCGCCGTCGCCACTTGGAGCCGCTTTGGGGTGGTCTTGGGACAAGTTTGGTGCATGTTGGAAGCTATATAAACTCATTGTGCGCTATCTGGAGCGATCCTGGAAACTACCTTTGGCTATTGTAGTGGCCTCCGGCCAATGCCGCCGATCCAAGGTGCTACCGATTCGGCTTGCAACTAGGGCTCCTCCTCCCCTGATGTCCTCCTTCCTCCTGCCCTGCACTCGGGCCTCGCCCTCCCCGGCGGCCGACAGCGCGAGCAGCTGAACCGCGGGGAGACCAAGGAGGTGCCGCAGCGCGCTCGCCCCAGCTTGGGGGAGGGAAGGGGGGCAGGAGGCCTGGCCCTCCTCCTCCTCCTCCTCCTCCTCCTCCTCCTCCTCTCCTCCTCCTCCTCCTCCTCCTCCTCCTCCTCCTCCTCCTCCTCCTCCTCTCTCCTTTTCCTCTTCCTCCTCGTTTTCCTCCTCGGGTCAGAGGCGTCTCAGAGTCGATTATTCTGGTGTCAACTGGTTGAACCTCTCTTAACTCTTTTGTCGGGTTTTCCATTGAGCTCGACATCCTTTTCATGCGTGCTCTCTCCGTGTCTGCTGCTCGCCCGCCGAGATCCTGCGGGTGGGCGCCTGGTGTGAGCTCCTCGCTGGCACTGGGGGATGGCCTCAGTCGTCCCCCGTATATTGTGGCCGTTGGCGCGCTGCGCGACGGATTCTCCCTTCAGGCTGCGTACCTCCTCGTCCTCCTCCTCCTCCTCCTCGTCTTCCTCCTCCTCCTCCTCCTCGTCCTCCTCCTCGTCTTCCTCCTCGTCCTCCTCCTCCTCCTCCTCATCGTCCTTCTCGTTCTCCTTCTCCTCGTCGTCGTCCTCCTCGTCCTACTCGTCCTCGTCCTCCTCGGTCTCGTCCTCGTCTTCCTCTCTCCTCCTCCTCGTCCTCCTCGTTTTCCTCCCGCTCCTCCTTCCTTCTCGTCCTCCTCGTCGTCCTCCTCCTTGTCCACCTCGCCTTAGCAGAGCCAGCAGCAACTCATGACGCTGACAGGTGCCCACTGTTCCAGGCCTATGCTCTCTTGCGCTGACGCCGAACTGCCGCTGAGGTCGCTCGCTTGCTCGCTCCTCGTCCTCCTCCTCTTTGCCCTCCTCCACCTCGTCTTCTTCTTTTTCTTCTTCTTCTTCTTCCTCCTCCTCCTCCTCCTCCTCTGATGACACCGTTCAAGTTCCATACCCTTGCTCGGACCTGCTGGATGGCGGACGCAGAGATGCCATCTTGGCTGAGGAGGCTAGCGGAGCCGAGGGCCCCATGCATCGGGTGCCAAACTCTACGTTTGAGGACGAGGGCGGCGGGCGCGACACGCCCAAGGACGACTACAAAGCGCTGGTTGTCATGCTCGCCAAACTTGTCCTCACGGGCGCCAGGCAGATAACCAGCCTCGAGGCCACCGTCTACCAGTCTTATTTCTCGCCGGAGGACAGCGAGGAAACCGTAGTCGGGGCTCCAGAGACGGGGGTCAATGCACACGGGGGCCAGTGAGAGCGCCGGCTATTGCAGGATCCTGTAGGGCCAGGGCTGCACTGACCCGGTTTTGGGTGTAGGACCCTCAGGATCCTGCGAGATCTTGCGGCGCGTCCTGGGATCAACGTCCTTGCGAGATCCTCAAGATCTCGCAGGATCCTCAGAATCGTGCGATATCTTGTGTGGAGGATCCTCAGGACCCTCAGGATCCTGCGAGATCTTGAAGGGCCCTGCAAGGCCTGGCCGGCCCAGGTGTGGATTGACCCAGGGTCAGCGCTTCCCCGACACAGGCGCCAGCCGCGAGGAGCCAGGGCTCGAGTGCGACAGGGAGCTCAGGGAGCAGCAGAGGGCGGGCCACAGGAAGGCGCGGGAGGGCAGCGATACGATGAAGGGCGTCCTCGCGTTGGCCGTGAACGCCAGAGAGGAGATCATCGGCATGATGTGGAGCGCGGTGATGCAAGTGCATGACGGCACGGGGCATGCACGAGAGGGTCCCGGGGCCCGCCCCGAAGGTGCCCTTTGAGCGCGAGGTGTCACGCATCGTTTCGGGGATGCAGGCTGAGAAGTGGAATGGAGGTTCCAGAGTTCCAGGCTTGCCTCACTTGTGAGTAGATGCGACGTGGCAGCCAGCGTTTATGACGCTTGCATCCTCGAGAACTTCCTCCTTTTCCTCTTGTCCATGTCCCTTCCCCCGAGCCTCGACCAAAATGAAGAGGCGGGGGGCGGTCTCGCGATGGTGTACAGGCTCCAGGGGCACGCAATGTGGTAACTAGGTGGCACAAGGTTGGTTGGCAGGCCAGTCACGAGGACGGGGCGCGCCTCGTGGCACGCGGCTCTTCGGCTACAGTGTCCAGGGGTGGTGAGGTGTGTGTGTGTGTGTGAGGCAAAGCGCGATGGTTCAGCTTGACGCTTGCTGGTTCCCGAGTACCACGCCCAAGGACTTCAGGAGGCATTCAAGTGCAATTCCATGAAGCAGAGCTCCCAGGGGACCCAGGTGAAGTTTTGAGGGACGACTTTCATGGACGGTGCATGCACTAGACATCCCAGTAGAGAACTTAACAGAGCCTCGTGGGATATGTACAGGTCACCAAGAGGGGACGAAAACAGCTGGTCAGGGTCGCTGGGCCAGTTTGGGGACCCCTCCCTCCCAAGCGGGAGAGTTTGGGGCTCTGGCCATGGTAGCCAACAATCTTGCGGGCCCTGCGGAGATTGCAAGAACGTTGTGGATCTTTTCCAGATGCCACAGACGGAGCGTTTTTCATTTAAGAGAGTTTACGGTGGCACAATGATGCTGGCACATGTGCAGGATGACCCAGATCTCACTGAGCAGCAACAGTGGGAAACATTCGGTAACGACGCTGCCGATGCAGCAGCAACGTCTGCGTTTCGTCTCACCCAACAAGGGATCCCACCGAGCTAGACCAGATAGAGTGGCAGGTGAAGGTTTCACGTGCTGTGTGTGTTCTTGCGGCCCGTCTTTTGCCCTTTGGCCCGCCCTGGACCTCGCGGGTATCCAGCTGGTCCCCAGAGTGCCTCGCCAGAAACCTCCTTCCCCGCCCTCAGCTGCACATGTGTGGGAATGACACAGATCTTAGTGGATATGTACGGTGTGCCTCAAGATAAGACGACACAACCCTGATTTTGTTTCTGGCCAAAGCGAGATGCCCTCCGCCGAGGGTTGCTCGGGAGAAGTGCCAGCGTCGTTGCAAAATGTAGGAGCCAGGGGACACACGCTTTTGAGTTTCGATTGCAGCGATCGATCTCACCTGGTCATTTGTGTTAAGTGTAAAGCGGTTTCTACCTTAGGGCCGTTGGCATTGTTGGCGAAGGAATGTCAGGCCCCGACCCGCAACAATTTGGAGAGGTGGAAGTACAGAGTGCTGAAGGGGCGCCACCCCAAACTTGAAAGGGTCGTCATAGAAGTTTCGCCCGAGCTGTCTTATGCCCTCGAGGCGGCATTCCAGCAGCCAGATTCTGCTGTCGATGCAGAAGGCAGCGGAGACTTCGACTAACTACGCTTTCTTGTGTGCCGTCACTTTTTCTCTCGCTCCCGATTGAAGCCTTTCCCCCCCGCGTTGTAGCGGAAGAAGGAGGGCCCAGCTCGCTCCTATCAGTGGCCACAGGGCCTCTTCTGGAGGTCTCCGCCACGGTGGCACTGGCTCATCGGCGAATGTCAGGCCCACACCAGGGATGAGGCTTGTCCATCGTCCTGGCGTTCTTTGCACCAGGGGTGAGCATTGCCGAGTCGTCCTGGCGTCGCCAAAGGTATCCAAGTATTTGTGCGAGTGTACGTGCGCATGCGCTGCGCGCGTATCAGACACCCTTTCTTTTGGGGGAAGGAGCGCTGCACGTGCATATCTGTCGTCCGAGCGACCTGGCCACTAGCAGGTTCGATCCGGGGTTTAGTCGTCTGCAGTTGGACGGCGCTGGCGTCTCGCAGCCAGCCTGAATACCCGAGCCTCGGGGTTCCGTCAGCTCGCTGCGGCTGGCCGTCCATTTGGCTGCGTGTAGTGGAGGGGCCCACCCTGCGGGCTTCTGGCACGGGGGTCGATCGGTTTTGCCAGTCCGCCCCGACCGATGCTTTGCCCCTGGTGGCTCTCTTTTTCTTTGGCTCAGGCTGAGGCTCTGGCGGGGTTGGGCAGACGCTCTGGCGGGAGGTGCTGGTTACGCAGCCAGCCCTGGAACCCGAGCCTTCGGGTTCCTCCTGGCGACATTGTCCTTCCCTTCCCTTTTTCCCTCTTTGGGGCAGCTGCCGCTGTTGCACGGCTGGGGTGGTCCTTGCGGGCCCCCTGGCGACAGTTGCGCAGGGGCAGCGCAGTGGGTGCCGTGGGCACGGGGGTGGACTTGGAAAGCCAGGCCGCCTCGACCGTCGCTCGCCCCCACACTCCTACCCTTCTCTTGGGGTGGAGGACTTTCTTCTCTGGATGCAATGCCGTCTAGTGAAGCTCCCGCCAGGCCCCAGACGCGGGTTTGGCGGTCGGGCGCAGAGCACTGCGTTACCTCGTGGAGGTGTTCTGGTCGAGGCTAATGTCAAGCTGCTCGTGTAAGTGCCGTGGGGGCCTTGTGGCCCCTCTGTCCTTGGCGCCCTGGTGTCCGTGTGGCCCGTCCCGCTCAGTCACCGCCAAGGTTTTATTTACTGGCAGACCTGGAGCTGCCACGCATGGTTCATGTTAAGAAATCCTCTTCTGCAGCCCCTTGAGGATCGAGTGCTGGTGCTCTCGGATGGCTTGGGGATCGTTCTGGCCTCCGGAGGCTCAGAGGACCTCCAGAGACCTCCTCTTCTTCCGCCACCCCTGCCTCGCCCTGCCCCTCTCCCTCCCCTTTCCCTGCGCCCCCCCTCCTGTAAAGCCCGCCGAAGATGTGGCGGCGAAGAAGAGGTAGGTAGAGGAGGAGGGGGAGGAGGAGGATGAGGAGGCGGCAGGTAAAAGGAGGAGGAGGAAGAGGAGGAGGAGGAGGAGGAGGAGGAATAGGAGGAGGAGGAGGAGGAGGAGGAGGAGGAGGAGGACGTCGATCCCACGGCTTCCGAGAGGTGTCGACTTCGCTAGGGCGACTCGAGCGTTCGGAGCTCAGCAGCCTCTTCGGCTACCTGAGCTATCGGGAGCGGAGGCTTGGAGCTTACAGGGCTGGTCTTTTGAGCCCTGGGGTGTCTCCCATCCTGGAGTCGCTCTTAGGCACCTCTCGAACACGTAGAAATGAACTTCCTAGGGCAACTCTTCAGGAGACCCTTGAAAGTGCATTTTTGGATACTTGACACATACAGAGCATGCAGCAATGAAGCTCTCGTCTGCGACAGGAGGAGAG